TCCTCTCTCTCTCTCTCTCTCTCTCTCTCTCTCTCTCTCTCTGTGTGCTATAGTATTATTGTGGAATAATTTGAGGAGAAAACGCTTTCTTAATAAAGTGTCCTCATTCATGCATCCATAAATCTAATGATTATTATCTAGACATGACACCAAAAGGACGAGAGTATAATACCCATCAAACAGCCATGACTTTGTAGTGTCCGTGGAGGGGGGGGGGGGGGCAAAGCCGCCTCATTAGGCTGACCTGTCGAGAAGCTATTTATCTAACCGGGTAACGACTTAGCCACCCCACATACTCTCCTTCTCTACTCCCGTGAGAAAAGAGAAAAGTCTGGGTAGCTGGTTACTTTCTCAAAAGAGAGTCATTGATTCATGAGCTTGTGGATACTGATCACTTATTCGTTTTACAAAGTGTTTCTCCGAAGCGTTTCGCTGAATGAGTTTTTCCTGAATCGATTTTTAACATGGTTCTCAGCTACTTCAAGGAATGGCTATGACTCTCTTTCGGCCTGGCTTTTAACCTTCGTACGACTATATTCTGTAATTATGCGGGAGGACCTCGGAATTTCACGTATGGGCAAGCGTGTGTGTTGTTTCAAAAATATCAGTTTGCCATTTAGTTTAATTATTTCCTTGTGTAAGATGATAAAGAGAAAGAGAAATGTACCCTGTGTGTAACTTGTCCTCATCTAGCAGTGAAGCAAACAGGGCGCTTTTGGTATCACAGCATAGAATTACTTTTTGTCTACTACAAGACTACAGCTGATGTCACACCAAAATAATTCAATGGAACTAACGAATACAATAAGCAGATGATCTTTGGCTTCAAGGTTATGATCAGTCTTTTCTCCCAAACCAGATCTTCACTCGGTTCAAACCGATTAGATCTAGTCACAAACGGGGGAGCCCAAAAGCTGACCACGCAGGAAAAACGTGCCGAGTTTGTTATTACAGTTTGACACAGCCATCAAAACGGGGCAAGAACTCGACCATTAGCGACAGGCGTCGAATGATGAGACAAACTGCGGATGAGAAACCGGAAAACTTTCTCTTAACTAGACACTATTGGTATGTGTCGGTGTCAGCACTGACAAGGGAAAAAATCCAAGGCCAACTGCAACATCTTAATTGTTATATTAGGTAGGGGTCAGGGACATTAAATGTTTCCCTTTTTGACTGTTTGAGTTGAAACACTTTGGTGAGTCCTTAAAACTATTCTTTGGAACGTTCCTTTGTTAAACATAGGAAAAAGTAGGGAGCATGGGTGCTTCCATCTACGGACTGCGTTTAACTCACTGTAACAAGAAAGCAAGAAACAGTTTTTAGTAAATCTTTAGAAAATCAATAGGTCTGGATCATTTAAGGCAAAAACACACTCAGAAAACGTAAAAAAGAACCTTCCCTGACAAAGTACTTACATCAGAGACGACACAAGTCTCGTAGTTGGTCCACGTCTTGTTGCTTTTCGGAGAAATATACCAAGTGCCGTCCTCCATGCACCCCTTGTTAGCGAAAGCTGGGGAAAGTTAAATTGACTGAATTGACATTAAATCAAAATCATGTCAGAAATTTTTTTTGTATGTTTTGTTAAAAGGGGGGGGGGGGGTTGTTGGTTGCTGCTGTTTTGTAAGTCTTTGGGGGTGATTTTTCTATTTCTGTGCTGGTTTCAATGTTTGACATTTGCTTCTGTTTTGTTACTGGTCTTGTTTTATATGTGGGTCGTTTAGATGTTTGGGTTTTATATTGCTTGTTTTGTTTGAGATAGTTCTGTTTGTTAATGCTTTCTGAGGATTTTAAAGATTTGTTTCTATTTGTTTGTTCACTTGTTTCTTGATTGTTTGGGGGGGGGGTTGTTTGTTTGTTTGCTTTTTTGTCATCTGTTGGATTCCACACCTGCCCCTCCTTTTTTGGGGGGAGTGAATTTCCTTTTTGCAGTTTCTTTGTTTTCTTTATAAAATGTATTAGTGGGTGGAGGGTGAAATTTGTAGAGACTCAAAGAAGAAAAGCAATGGGGTTCTAAAAAGGGTAGGCCAGTTTGGTCTTCAAGCTCTGATTATACACTGTCATCAATTTTTAATCTATTGCCAACATTTATTTTTTGCAATATTTTCCCAAGTTTGTACTTCATTCATAATAATACGGCATGGAACTGAACTGTAGACATACCACATTACAACATAGTATCTGAAATAAGTTATGATTATCAAAATTTACGTTAAAAAGATTAATTTTGAAATGTCTAACTATATAAATCTTTTTGAAGAGGTTTTCGTCAAACGTACAGAGTGTGTGATGATGTAATGTTGAGGAAGAAATCGAGACACACGATGGGGGAAATAGGGAGGAGATGGGGAGGCAGGATAATCACAGAAAAGAAGGGGAAGGGTGGAGGAAAGGGAGGAGGGAGAAGGGAGAGGGGAGGAGGAGAATGTGAAGGAAGGTGAGGCGAGGGAGCAATGACTTGTCCTGATCTCAAACATATTATTTTTCTCAACCTCTGAGCAGCCAGGCCCGATATAAAATATAGTCTTAGGAAGATGCATTGACAGTTACCAGACTGGGCAGTATGCTATCGAGAAACTTGACTTTTTTCAAGTTATGTTTAACCACAGAGATTTATTCCTTTTCTTGTGATCTTTGGCACATGATACATAAGATGACTGGGGATATTATTTTTTTTTAGGTTGAGTAGTGCGTTTTCTATTTTTTTTTTCTCCCCCCTTTTATGCTTGTATTTTTCGATGGCGATGTGGGATGGATTTGCTTTTAAAATAATTTTTAAAGACAGGCTGCTGTGTTTGTTGTTGTTGTTGTTGTTGTTGATTTTGTTGTTGGTTGTGGTGTTGTTGCTGTTGATGCTGTTGTTGTTGTTGTTGTTGTTGTTGCTGTTGTCGTTTCTTCTTCTTCTTCTTCTTCTTCTTCTTCTTCTTCTTCTTCTTCTTCT